TCTTCTCCTCCTCTCCTCCTCCTCCTCCTCTTCTTCTTCTTCTTCTTCGTCCTCCTCTTCTTGTTCCTCTTCCACAGACACACCTGCAAGGTCTGTGACATCCACCATTGACATCCCCCAGACCCCAAGCCCCCCCCCCCAAGTTCAGTTTTTGTTGCGGATTCGGGGTCCTCTAGTGCAGCGCAGCACAGCCCCACCGTCAGAAAAAAAAATAAAAAATTCTTGATTTGGGTTCTCACGTGTGAACTCCCACATGAATGTTCATTGATGTATGTGAGGTTGAGCTTGACGAGTACTTGGCTCATTTCAGTGGTATCGGAGCTGAGGCGAAAAAAACGCACGGGCATGCGGGTGAGAGAGAGAGAGAGAGAGAGAGAGAGAGAGAGAGAGAGAGAGAGAGAGAGAGAGAGAGAGAGAGAGAGAGAGAGACTACATACGTCCAACTCTTAGACATGCTTTTCCCTGTCCTCACCGAAGCTTCATGAGACCAGCACAGACTTTGACTGTCAACCTGGTTTGTGCGCTAATGGATTGATCTTGAATTTCGAGGATGTTATTCACTTGGTTTTTCATTTTGTCGCATACTGAGACCTATCTGATGTCTCCATGACTGTCATTGTGATATCCTCTTCCTAGAGTCCAAGGCAGGCAGTCCAACTCAACAGCACCCAGAAGATCCCAGACACTGACCCGCACTTTACTCACCTGATGTCGTGGGTTCAGTGTGTAAATGGTCGCTCCACTTTTGTTCACTACGGCCTTCAGTTCTGGTGCAACAATGCGGTCAGCTGTTCTGTTTGCATACTTTTTCACAGTTGTCGAGTACCTGATAAGAAAAGGAGAAAAGCAGATGGTTACAAACACACTCAAATCAACCATGACAGTTTTCACTACCCTGGACTCCCACACAGCTAATATCACAGCAATCACTGGCAGAGGGGCTTCCAAGAACATCACCATCCTGAAGCCCTGCCATTTAGAGGTTGCAACATACTTCGCCCCCCACCGCCTACTTCGCCCCCCACCGCCCCCCACCGCCCCCCCCTTTCCCTTCTCGATTTATGTGTGCCATTCTTGCGCAGGGGCCGTGCTAATCTTCTCTGTATCATTCCAATTTTAACGGATGCTGCGAAGGACTGGTTGCAACACACTTATATTGAGATCTTGATATGAATTATACAACTGAAAAACAAAGCCACTTGCAACAGGGAAGTAAAGCTGTTTGAACTTTGAAGTTTGAACAGGCCTAAATGGTAAGCAAGATCAGCAACCTTTCTTTCTGCAATCCACATCAAGCATTGCATTTTGTTGCGAGGGCCAAGATATTTGTTCGTCAGCAGTCCAGCATAAAAGAAAAAGACTTGAGGCAACTGGCTGAGATCCACGAAACTGTGCATAAAACATAGCTGATGGGCACTCTTCATGGATTCCAGAAAAAGGGGGGGAAACTCAAAGAAAGAATGGGCATGGTCCTGAGCCTAATGGTCAGCATGTTCATCTGAGAAGTTCAGGGATGTAGTGCGTGCAATGGAAATTTCATGTTGTTGTGGGTGCAAAGGAGATTCTATGTTGTTGCACTGGCCACCCATAGTTTATTGAAGGCCTCTGAGAACCACAGTGGGCTAATTTCTGAGTTATTTATTACCATGGCTACACCGGACCCGGACCCGGACCCGGACATTTCCGGGCATGGAACTGGACCCGTGTCCGGTAGTTTCCGGACCTCCGAACATGGGGGGATCCGGACGGTCCGGAAGTCTGGACAGGTCCGGAAATTTCCGGACCATTAAAAAAAAAAAAAAAAAAAAAAAAATCTGAAAAAAAAGTATGTTATGCCTAGGCTGCACTCCGGGCCGCCCGGCGCCCAGCTGGTCGCCCGGGCGGGGGGCCGGGCCGCCTGGCCGGTCGTCCCGCCCGGTTGGCCACCGGGCGACCCCATCGCATCACAGAGGTTTTTTTTTTTTGTTTTTTTTTTTTTTCGCGGGGGGCCTTCTCCCCCCCCAAGGAAGCCGTAGATGTAAGAAAAAAGAAACAGAAGGGCCGGTAGGCCCCGTTTGAATGAGTTCAAATCCCCGCTCGTCTGGGCCGTCGATCCTCAAGATCGACGGCCCAGATAGGCGGAATTTGAAATCGTTCAAACGGGGCCTACCGGCCCTTTTTTTTTTTGTGTGCTGGATCTTGTTTCCCGCCAACGAAGTCGCCGCCAGTGTTCGTTGTCGCCGTGAGTGCACGAAGCCCCAGTTCGTCGTCGAAGCCCCCGTTCGTCGTCGAAGCCCCCACCCGCCTACGCCGCCCGAAGCCCCGGTTCGTCGTCGAAGCCCCCACCCGCCTACGCCGCCCGACGCGCGACACAGTGAGTGCGTTAGTTAGAGAGAGAGAGAGAGAGAGAGAGAGAGAGAGAGAGAGAGAGAGAGAGAGAGAGAGAGA